TGGAAAGCCCAAGAGTCAGGTAGGAAGGTTTATTTTATTTATATATTTCAGGTATTTATATAGTGCCATCAATTTACGCAATGCTTTAACACACACACACACACACACACACATATATATATATATATATATTGTACATTCACATCAGTCCCTAACCCTCAAGAGGTGTACAACCTAAGGTCCCTAACTCACATTCATACACAAACTAGGGCCAATTTAGACAGGATCCAAATAACCTACCAGCATGTCTTTGGGGTGTGGGAGGAAACCAGAGTACCTGAAGGTAACCCGCACAGGGAGAACATGCAAACTCCAGGCAGGAGGTGCCGTGGTTGGGATTTGAACCAAGGACCCTAGTACTGCCAGGCGGAAGTGGTATTTAGCAACTGTACTGCTCATATAATGCCTTTTCAGTATTTACATATTCTTAAGAAACAGTAAAGTTACTTAAAAACAAACTCTTACTGACTTTTCTCCTTTTTGTTTATGTACATGCCTTTGTATACATCCTTTAGTTCTTGTGTTAGTAGGGCAGCAGGGTGTTTACTATATACATTTTAAAATAATATTATTTGTATATACATCTGGCTTACTACTATTTGACTTTATTCAACATTATGTGATATTTATTGTTGAGCAATTATTTTACTATATTTGTGCTAGCAGGTTTTTATTGGGAGTGATTTTTTTAGTTTTGTAATTTATCTTTTTGATTTCACTGCTTTAAGAATTCTAGCATTTTTACTCTATTTGTGGTATTAGGGCTATATAGTGTTTATCTATTCATTCATTTGCACATATATTATTGAATTTATAGTAAATTCACATGCACTTGTGATTTGTAGGATTTATATTTTTATTGATTAGCAGTGCAGCACTATATATTTTTTTTATTAGTTGCTATACAATACTTCACTTCATTTTCATCATGTGAAAAGATTGTGTAGAAAAGATGTTTCATGCTAAGGATGTATTATTTAAAAAAGGCATCTGTCATTTTAATGATTTTAATGAGTTCTCTTCATTTCTATATACATGAGAGCATTCTGTAGTGCAATTGGGAAGACCTCCGTCAGTGCTGAGCACACTGCATCAGATTTCAGTGTGACAGAAGAAGTGTTGTCAGCTTATTACAGGAAGTTAGCTGCTCACTGGATTTCAGGCAGGCGCAACATATACTGAAAAGAGGTACGACAAACGTTAATTTTTTTTTCTTTTTACTGAAAACCTTATGCAAAAGCTATCAGTAGCTTTAGGAGATACAGGCAGCTAAAATTGTATCCACATCCTGTTAGTAGGAGTAGCCGATTTCATTCTTACATGGAAAGTCAAAAGTTGTACATTTGTAATTTATGACTGCAAACTATGTTTGAATTTCTGGTGTGGTGTTTCGATGTTCATCAGTAACTGGTTTGGTGGTTCTGCCTTGACTGACCATATCAAGGATCAGTTGCTGTTTACACGCAGACATGGCCCTTTTAAAGACAAAATGTAGGTTTTCTCAGCAAATTTTTACTAAAATTATGTGTCAGGGATAGACCAACAAGTACAAAGAGTAATAGGAGTGAAAATTGATCATAGCTAGCTTTTAGTGAATACATGTACTACTTTAGAAATCGGGGCGGCTCTGACCAAGTTGAAAACCGCACTGATTTGACTGCTGTAATTGCGGACAATAGGGGCCAGGGGAGTCTGCAGGGTACCCAAGAAGCGGAAGATCTGGGCTTCTGTGTGCACAACCACTGCACACAGCAGGTAAGTATAGACATGTTAATTTTTAAAGAAAAAAATATAAGCCTTTAGAATCAATGTAATGTCCTTTGTAGCCTCTCACCTTGTAAACTGACAAAAAATTAAACCATCCCCAGTGAGTGATCAGTGGGGGGAAGGGAGATTGATGAAAATACATTGCTTTTGTCTGCAGACTAGTACCATCATTCTTCCCTAATGCTCCTCACATGCCATTCATTGCACTGGTAGGTTTTTTCCTCATAAAAAGATATGGCTTTTGGAAGTTATATGTTGCTGTGACATGTCAGAAATCTATTAAGGTTGTAAAGCTGGGATGAGCAAGTCTGGCCCTCTAGCTGTTGTGGAATTGCAGAGGGATGATGGGACTTGTAGTTCTGCAACAGCTGGAGGGCCACAGATATCCACTCTTGTAAAGTAACTGATAGATCTGCTTTACTGTGTATTTGTAAAACTCTCACTAAAAATTTACCCAGCAATCTCTCCTGTAGCATGGTTTGACTTATATAAAAAACACAAAAAAAGCTTCATTTGAGACATTTAATAGTGCATTTGGCTATATTTGATAAAGACATATGCATCAAGATATAAATCTATTCTCTATGCTCTTTCACGTTAATGCTTATCATGTTTAGCATATTTAAAATTGAGGGAATGTATCCAGGTACAAAAATGAAACATATTTGAGGTATAAATACAAGTATATCTTAAATAATTACCTTTGCCATGCATTTACTATACTGAACATTACACATAACATTAAAGTGGTATGTACAGCGAGGCTTTTATACAGTCAAAGAGATTACAATGCCTATACAAGGTTTAGATATTTATGATATATATGGAAACACTGATAATGAAAACACTATTATTTTGCCTGTTACATAAAACAAAATTCTTCATTAAAAAGTATTTCAATTAATACTGACAATGGTAAAAACACGGCAACAACTTTCATTCACCAAGGTTCTCTGTTCAGTCTGCATACAATTAAATTACCTTAAAGTTTCAACATTCCTCTTCTACCTGTACAATATAGCTCAGTGGCTCCTCCCACATCCAGAGCCTCCTCCCACTTTATTCAGCCCTCCGCTACCCCAGTATTTGCTGCACGTTAAAAGGTATATTTCAGCTTAGCAAATACAGCCCGCTATTAATACAAGCAACCCCATAAAAGTATCTAAATTGGAAATAAGAAAAGAGTATAGCACTCACTAGCCAGTATGGCCTATCTGAAGGCCAACAAACACTTAGGAGAAACTAGGGAATATCTTGTACTCCTACTGACAATCTACAGCTATATAAAAGGCTTAAAATATTTAGAAGACAGCCAAAATTTATAAGGGGCATTGCCTACCTTACTTCGGGACATGTCCAGCTCTACTCTTAATAAGCCTTTGCCTTGCTGAGCCTAATTTTAGCACAATAAACATTAACCTCATATAAATAGATAAGCGGTTTGTAATGCTTCACCCATACTTGCCAATATTCATGTTGTTGGCTTACAAAGCATTCTGTGAATGGACAGCAAAAGGGCATTGGGAAAAAAAAAAAGTAAATAATAATTAAAATAGATAAGACCATAAGGTAGCATGCATCTTGCTGAACTTAACCCCTTATAAGCCAGCAGATTTTTAAAAGTGCTGCAATTCCTGTTTTCAATCACACTTGAGGGAATTTATTTTTCCCCATTACAATAGCCAGGACAGAGAGGGAAAATCTCCCCAAGTGGGGACAAAAACAATAATAAATTGACTAGTTCACAAATTGTTTCCTACATTAATTATTGTTTCCTACTTTAATAGAAACATTTTAAAACTTACTACCCCCTTTAAAGTGATTTACTCATCCTCTGTCATGACACCTGTCAAAAGTCAAGATGTGAAGAGACAACTCCTCAATTTGGGACACATATTGTACATCTATGAAGAGTTGTCAGATTGTTAACCTTTTCCCACTCTATTACAACTTTGGCAAGAGTTAGACTTAGTGACTAAGTGTCCTAAGTCAGTATGGGGGTTTTGTGCGTTAAAAACAAGGTCAGAACCTCTGATCAGTCAAACAGGCCTTCAGTGAAACCACCGACACCTGTGTGCCGCCAGGAACTTGGGTTTTACACCACATGCAGAATGATGCTAAGAAGCCATAGATCTGTCACATCCTGGATACCAAGTGAGATGAACTGTGGCCAGAGATAAAAAAAAAAAAAAAAAATAAAATATATAACTTAGGCTAATTAAATATGGAATTGAATGGAGGTTGTCTATTCACATATAAAATGTTCCCAGATGTGCCAATTCAGTAAAGCAGTGCCAATGGCAATAATAGCAACAATGTGTAGAGCCCAGCCACATTTGGCAAACAGTAAGATTTCTATCAGAAGACAAATGATATATTCTAGATGTCTGTTGTGCATATCTGCACTCTGCATCACTGCATTAATTCAGTTAGTAAACCAAAGGTAAGCATGGTTTCACTAGGTTTGATTGTTGGCAAGCATGGGTTTATCGTGCAATGAAAAAAACTAAAGTGTCAGTTCATATTATAGTTATACTGTATATGCAACTTAAAGAGTGTTCACAGTCCTGATATGGAATAGCAAGACGGCTCTGGCAAGGGATCCCAAGATGAAATTTAAACAACAGCAATTAGCAAATGTGCATCAGACTTGTGTCATACAGAAAGGATAGTTTGGTCACTTTCATAACTCTAACCAATACAACGAAACCTGAGATTAAAACCATTACAAGTAATCTATCAGTGTACCAGACACTAGATGACTGGACTAAACTCACAAGGGGGACACACATTCACACATGTTCACTGTGCAAATATTTCTCTTCTGAACATACAAAGTATATAGATATGCATAGAAGCATAAGTACCAATTATTCCAGTGGATACACCAGTCCCTCAGTATGCTTAATAATTAACACAATGACAATATACAAGATAACTGCATATAGGAATGTGGCATTATTTTAACAATACATACTTTTCCAATAAAATCCTCTTGCTTCTCAGAAGCAGTCAATTGATATGTACTAACACATATAGGATGATATATGATGGTAGCCTAAAGGCTGATGAATTCTAGTCCATGGCACTAAGCACCATAAAAGACAAAAGCAGCTTCATTTCTTGGATTTGACTTTTTTCCAAGCAACTTTCAAAAGTCCAGGATCTTCTATTTTGTCCTGACATCTTTCATTTCACTTTCTTCGGAACCCTGTTGAGACAACTGTGCGACGTCACCTTGACTTCCCGTTATTGCTTTCTGGTTGTGGATTGATAAACGAGTCTCGAATCCTAACTACTTCTGCAGCACATAACTGTCCAAAAACTTTATTGTACCATTCTGGCATGTGGCCCCTGAAACATGAAAGAAGAGGTCTGATTAAAATCTGCATGTTTAATGTATTTAATCATTTACCAAGCTAGCATGAAAAATAAACAAATTAAAAAAAAAATATATAAAATTTAAAGCTGAATTCTAGATATAAAACACAAATTAATGCAGCTTTGTAATCATTTAAAATAAATTGTTATATTTATAATTTAACTGATCCAGAAGAGAAGGATCATTTCTTGCACAGTTATTCTGCTGATACATTTTAATAATTATAGCTGGGTATGGAAATACTAAAATATTTTTTTTAAGAGGTAGTTGTGCCTTGTGATTGGGGAGGTCTAAGCATATTGTGATTGATGCATTATACATTTCTGCTGAGCTTTAAAGTGGATTTCCACTTTTGAAACCAAACAGGGATAAACACTTTTTATCTGTTACATGTTCCCATTAATAAATCATAATTTAAAATATTCATATTTGCTTAAAAATCCTTACATGTTCTCCTTGCTTTGTTCTGTGCTAACAGTTCTTCATTAATAGTTGTAATGGGTTCAAAATTTAGAAACCACTCTCCTGCATTGTATGTTAATGAGGAATAGCTTAGTCTGTACTTCACCTTTCCCTGTCGAAATACACTACTCAGTGTATTAATGGCTGCAGCAACTGATTGAATGCTGGTTTTCCAGCAGGATCATTCAACAGATTTTGGTCTAATAGGCTTATGTTGAAAAAGGAGGATCACAATGGGGTTTATTTACTAAAGCTGGAGAGTCCAAAATCAGACTCCCTTTGCATAGAAACCAATCAGCTTCTAACCTCAGCTTGTTCAATGAAGCTTTGGCAATGAAACCTGGAAGCTGATTGGTTTCTATGCAGAAGGGAGTCTGATTTTGGACTCTCCAGCTTTAGTAAATAAACCCTAATGTGTCTGGTTTCTGCTAAACCAGCTGAATTTTGATATGTGTATATCCAGTTTTGGAATCAGCCACGACACCTTTTATATCTTAAAAGGTAAGAAATCATTTTTCTTTTTTAGGACTACTGTGTGAATAGGAACACACGCATATAATTATTTTTTTTCAAAATTTACAGCAAAAGTTGAAATAACTTTTAAACATATTCTGCTGGCCATCAACACATACACCACATCACTGAATCCTAACAGGATTCCAGAAGAGAGTGCAGCTAATATCTTGACGTAGACAGTCTGAACATACAGAAGGTACTCAGGAGGTGAAGCATGTGATGAGGGATGCTGGTGACAAGCCTAGTCATGTGGACAGAGTGAAAGACAGTCTAAGGAAGTCTCATTCATATAGCTTGAAGTGCCAAACAAATACAAGAATAACTCAGTTTTTTTTTTTTTAAATAGTATGTTCCCTTGGAGACAAATGACTGCTAACAAAAGTGAAAATTTGTTACATCATTCTTGAAAAGAATGCAATTTGATTTTGCTTGAACACAGCTAATGCTAATAAATCTTTCAGAACCCTTGCAGATTTCTTCATGGAATTTCTTTTGAATGCAAACTAGTATATAGTAGAGGGTGACATATAGCTTGTACCAAGACTATGAAGAGTACCACACCAGAGCGTTTTCTTTTTCCGATATGATAAAAGCCTTCTTGATATACTGAACACTGTGCGATTCCTACCAGCCATTCAAGCTGAGTAAACCACCACAAAATATAACAAAAAAAATTAGGCCCCCTGCAGGTTTAAGTCATAATGTACTAATATGCACCACATACTAGCACATTATGACGGACTTAGCTGCACGTGGAGCTCTCCAGTGCAGAGCTGTCATGGCTTCCCAGTGCTTCTATCTTTACCTGGTCTTCCTTCTGGATTCCATGGCTCCAGCTGTATGAATAGCCGGAGTCTTGATGACATCACTCCCATGTATGCACGCAGGAAATCCAGCATGGAATTCTGAAGGTACGGTACGGGTATTCTGTCCCTTCAGAGGGCACCCAGTGACGTCACTGGCTGCATCCTGTGTGAATATCTCCTAAACTGTGTAAATTTAGGAGATATTCAATGTACCTACAGGTAAGCCTTATTATAGGCTTACTTGTAGATACAAGTTAAAAAGTGGACTTTACTTCCACTTTAAAAGTAAAAAAAAAACCCCCTTAGTTGGGTGACTAGACATGTACTAAGTGGTGCTTACCTCAGATCAGCTCTGCACAGGTAGGTAAGCTTGGATTTGCCCGTGCCACAAGGCTCAATGAGGTATTTGGACTGAAGTATATTGACTCTTACTCCAAGTAAAGGAGCTTGTTCATGATCGACTGATATAAGCTGTAGTATGCAAGCTCCTTTTGGTAAATTGCTTCTCCATGATCTGTAGAAATTAAAGCAAGCATATTTATTAATTTTAATAATTCTTAATTACACTAGAATAAAATGACTTATTTTTTTTAAATACATTAACAAAACTTGAAACTCAATGGACATAGCAATATAAAAAAAAAAACTAAAAAAAGTACTGAAACGCTAAGTCACATATGTCTCATAGCAGGTATATACTGACACTTTTTTTTGTGGCCTGTTTATTTGTCTACAGATAATCATTCATGGACAACTAGATACTGGATGTGCAACAAAATTGTTTGGTTTTGTCTACACTCACCTTAAAACAACAAAGTCTCTAGCTGGGTGTGGAGCCATGTTGTTCTGTACATATTGATAAATGTCAGTGTGCTCATCTAAAGTCTCTACAACTTTTGAGTCCAACAGATCTTCGTCCCATAGATGCTGCTCCTTCAGTAGGCGCTGCAAAACATCCTCTGGCTGAGCTGCAATTTCGATAGTGCTTTTCCACAGCCGAAGGGGAGGGCCATCAGGGACCTGAGAAATAATACATGGTGGTAAGCAATTGGGGAACAACTTACTCAATGACTGTAAACTGTACGATGCTGGTGAGACAAGTCACTACATAACTATCAGTAATCCATTCTACACTATGGTAGATACACTACGATAGATATGAAATGTACTTGGGGAGAAATAGCAAAGCAAAAAGTTAAAACGTTAGCAACAGATTATGAATTAGGTCTACAGAAACAGAAACGGGTGTCATGAATATGAATGGCATTTAAACTGGCATTAAGGTGTTGCATCAGTGCCGAATTCAGATCTTGGGGGGCCCGGGGCACAAGTTCCGTGCCCCGTCAACATAGAAATGACAGTATACGACAAATAAAAAAGCTAACTAAAATGAATTCTAAAATTTGTCACTGATCTTTTTTTTTTCTCGATTTTATTGACTTTAAGAATACACATTATGCAGGTAATTGGAACTGGCAAGTCATACATCACAGTTGTGCATCACACTACAATATTTATAAAAAGTCTGCACTTAACATCTGCATCTTAGCAACTGCAAGATCTTAAACAAACTCATCATACTGTATCATCTTGAGGACACTGTTCTTGACAGCCAGTAGGCACAGAGCACTTAGTCTTTCAGGGGTCATTGAGGTTCTCAGATAATTTTTTTATCAGTGCCAACTTGCAAAATGACCTTTCTCCCGAACTAGTGACTATCATGTTTAAGCATTTTTTAAGAGCTACATAAACACCTGGAAAGGTATAAGCAAGCCCTTCATCTTGTGATAAAACTGCCTGTTGAGATGGAGTGAGACATGACCGAAGCTTGCCAAAGGCTGCAAAACTGGACAATTTCCTCAATGAACACATTGCTGAAGTCTCGAGGGAAAATACATTTCTTTTTTTGTAAAGGAAGTCTGGGGTGCCCTCTTGCAGGGAGGCCCAGGGCAGTTGTACCTTTTGTCTCCTTATAAACCCAGCATTGTTTTGCATAGTTGCTTGGAGAATAGATTATATGTTATCATATTATTCTCTTGTGTGCTCCAGTGGAAAGAAATCTTCACCACAATTCCTAGTTGTGCTTGTCTATCACACTTATTACAAACCTAAAAATGATGATGATGATGATGGTGCTTGGTGGATTTTAACTTGCTTATCCCGAAAAACAGGGTGAGAGTTTGTAACCACTTTACAGATAAAGGAGGGACATGACACTGAAGGGTAAGTTCACCTTTCAGAGCATGTTACTCATTACACTTATATTTAGGGTGTAACGTGTATCATGCTTCAAGAATTCATACATTCATACTGACCCCCCCCCCCACCTTGCACCCCCATGATGCCCCTCCTCCCCTTTGGGGGATCCTCTCTCCAGATGGCTTGTAGTTCTAACTGAACTGCAAGGGTGATGATGAGCACCCTTATAGTTCATTGACACTTCCCACAGCTGTCAAGCAGAAAGCCCATACAGAGGTAAGGGCTGAAAGTTGTAGCAAGTGTCTGCAGGAGTGTGACATTGCACCTGTGATCCACTGGGTACAATGCTCTGCAAGCTCATGAGAAATAGAATAACAAATACACATTTTTTCTTTGCCTACAAAAAAAATAATGTGCATGTATTTTTTTCCCCCAAAAGTTGAATGTATCCTTGAAAACCCAAGAAGGGCTGAAGACTCCTCACAAAGAAAAATTGTGCTTATTGCAAATAGGGGCTGCAATGTTGGCTACAGGGTGCCTTTTCATTTTTAGATGATACTAGATGTACTACTGACACATACAGGATCAGGTGTACTTTAATTCCAAAGTTTAAGAAGCATGACTCACTTTTTTGTAGGCAAGGTCAGCCTGTTCTGATGTGGAGCAGCTGATCCAGCCTTTAAACTTGTCCTTGGCGTCCTTCAGCAAGCTATCGATGCCCTCCTGAAGGAAAGCCTGATAGTCACAGAACCCCTCGTTATTCCCATTGACCAGCTCATCCAGGCAAACTGGCCTGAGGTCCTGTTCCATGTATGAATTACGACACTTGTTCATTTCTTCAGGAATCTAGGATGGAAAAAAGGAAATAAATCAAGGCCAGATTAGCTAAGCCATCTAACAATAACACAGTTGTAAAGATTTAATGTGTTTAGGAAAAGATTGAGAACATACTTAATAAATCACTGACATACGATTATTATGAGTACACAGGGAAAAGTATTGGACAGTGTACGGTGTGTAGTATTGCATAATAATGCAACAATTCAGTTAATCCAAGACTTTTAAGCCATTATGTAAGCAGAATGGAAGAAATGGGTTTAGAAAATGAAAAACAAACTCTAACGCTGAATTCTGGTGACTGGGCATGCAGGTTTAGGAAGGAATCAGAAAGCAGGGGATGGTATTAATTTGCAGTTATACAATATGCTACAAAGATCATAGCAACCCTGAACACAAAGTGACAGCTGGTACCTGAAAAAGTTTCTTGCACTCGGCAATCATATGTGCCAGGCCTTGGGTGGCAGCAAGGTTTTCATTCAGGTCTTTCTGATCAGGTTTCCCCAAGCTTTGTTTCCTCTGCATGACCCTGCAACAATGTATACACAAAAGGTAAAGTTAATATATTGTGACCAATACAGATAACCAATCAGTTACTTCAATAAGCCAGTACACAATGGGGGGAAATAGAATGTGCAGAGACCAATAACCCAATCCATTTCTAAATCATAACTTAACCCTTTTGCTGCCAGAGCAGTTTTTGCATTTTTTGCACACATTTTAAAAAATCATTTTACGCCTGAAGATTACACGGAACCCCCAAACATTATATATTTTCTGAAAGCAGACACCCTAGAGAATAAAATATTGGCAGTTCCAATTTATTATGTCACACGATATTACCGCAAAGGCAAAATGTTTAGTAAAAATCACTTAAGTGAATTTAAAGGCAAACAAATGCAATAAAAACACTTTTTGGTAAAATATAAAAGATGAGGATGCACCGAGTAAATAGATGCCAAACCTAAATTTTGTGTGCCCGTGAAATAGCAACAAACTTCAGTACCCTACATTTTCTATAGGCGATGCTTCAAAAGTTCCTACAGATCATCAGTTTAGTGTTATGGAGGTGGTCTTGTGGTAGTATTGTTGCTCTTACTCTGGTGTGCACAGCAATATGTAACATGTAGGTGCCCCCGACGGATGCATTTACATTCATACATGCGTGTATGTGGGGATGGAAGGCCTTAACCTTTTTGGGGGGATGGGGGGGGGGGGGGGGGGAGAATGTTATGTGCTTGGGTGAACTGAGCACTAAGCCTCTCCCAGAGTAGACAGTGCCCATTTGCTTGTCAGTTAATAATTGAAATAATAAAATATTAAAAGAGCACACTTCACTTTTATTTTCCAGTTCCAAACACAGGAAAAAACTGTCCATTATCTTATTAAAAATATGAAGATCTGACCCTTCTGGTAGATTGATAGATTAATTTACTGTAATAAGGTAGTGCAAAATACAATAAACTACAGCAACTAGATTATCAGTTTATTGTAAACAAATGATAAAAAAACAAAACTATATCTGCTTGGTTACCATGTGTTAAAGCAATTTTAGAACCCTTTTAAACAAACCTGTATCTTTTTAGTGCTCTGTAAAGAACTTAAAAAATATTTTTAACAATTGATTCAAACTTTATAGTAAAGCTCTGCTAGCATTGCATCGTTTGGAAAAATATAAATTTCTACAGCTCAAAAAGTCAAGCCAGTTCTATTATACATCAAAGTCATGAAAGTAGGTGTTACTGTCGCAATTATATGCTAAACTGTAACACTTCACGGGTGCATTTGGTTTTAATGCAATGCCTCTCTGCAGCTGCTTCAACGTTCTATCCATCTCTGTTATTGGAGGCAGCTATTCTGTGGGAAGAGGCTACCAAAATACATTGCTGGACAAACCGAAAGAAAGGTGATGTTAATAACATACCTAGGAGAGGAGTTCTCCCTCTTCAGAGTATTGAGGTGGAACAGAGAAGGAGCCAAACACACAGCCAGATTGGTGGGTGTCATCTGGTTTTCATCCACAGCTGCAGCAACATCGCTCAGGAAGTACAAGAAAGTCTGCAGAACCTCCCTGTTCTCATCAGGCAACAGCATAATGGCAGCCTTGATTGCCTGGAGACGCTGATCTTTTGGAACATCTACAAAGAAAAACCACAAAAAAATCAATGTAGAAGAACACATCATGTATACAGCTGTGCACAACAATATACCATGCATGTAGCACTGTCGAGCTAATACAATAGTTTCCATTCACAAAGCGATGTCTTAAAAAATAAATAAAAAAAAATAAATCTATGGCAGCTCTCACTTAGCATGTCATAATGGAGCTATTCGAACTAGGAAAAAATTAAGGCTGAAAAGATTTATATACTAGATGCAAGCTGTGCGTAACCACCATAGTGTATGGGAAAGGAGGGCATAGCTATATTTTGTCAGGGTGTCAAGTGTAAAAGTACTCTCCTCTGGCAAAGAAGGTCAGTAAATGTCCTTATATTATGTTATTCCAATAGTGTTTTTTAACTTGCTTTTGCTCAAGAAATCACCTATGACAATCAAGTGAGGATCACCAATATAGGGCTTAGCCAAGGAGGGTGATGAGTGCTCCTTTCAATCAGAATTGGTTACTACTACATTTTCCACCTTTATAGAACCAATCCCTCCCTTTATCATGGAGAAAATAGAATGAAATGTTCATCACATATACAATCTATAGTTGTAGCAATACTGCTGTGCATGGTAGACAGGTCCCACCACCTGTCTAGGGGCAACCTAGATAGGGATGTATTCTAAAGGCCAAGTTTTATTTATATCACTGTCAGCTCTGGAGTCAAAAATGTATTTGTTGTAGTTATTTGCACAAATGCTTGGTCAATCTCTCAGAAAATGTTTTTTTATTAACAAAAACAACTACTCACATTGATATATTTGCAGAAAGGTTTCAGAGAGTTTGTTGGTGAGTAGAGGTTCAGGTAGATCCCTGAAATACTGCTTCAGCATATCAGCCACATCATAGGCAGACTGCCCCTCATATAAGGACCCATCAGCATTGTTCTCAATTATCTCTCGCAATGCCAGGATCCGAGACTTAACTCCCGATTTTCGGAACAGCCCCACCTTTAAGAAAAAAGCAACAGTTTACGGGAATTCCTATGTAGACTTAAAGGAAATAACAACCCTACTAATAATGCCCCATGAGACACACCTGGTCCAAGCACTGACTACGCAGGTAGCGCATAGCTTGCTGTATGCACTGCGGCAATGGCTGACCAAACCTCTGTACATTGACCGTAAGTGGAACACCAAAAACGTTCTTGTCCTTATAGTCTGGAACTCTAACCCGTTTCATAAACTTTGGTACAGCCCTGTGTAACAGAAAAGCAAATGTTAGATTACACAAGAAACGCACATTTAAAAATTGGAATTCATACTAACCTAAGTAAGGCAAAATCACTAAGAATATTTAATGTTGCGAGTACTGTCCGTGACACTTTATTTATATGCGCTAACAGTTAAATCTACAGAACAGGCTTTCAGGGATGTCTGAATACACAAATATTAGTACTTCTACTAAGATGAAGGAGTAGGCTCCTGAAAGATTGTCCTAAAAAATGGCAGTGCAAATAACAAAAGTATCATGAAGAGAACTCAACTTTGACTAATATGGCTACAATAACTTTATGAATATTCTAAGGAGAAATACAATCTTCATATCTCTTGTTATTGGAAAAAAAGCAAGAAGAGGAACAGTCTATTGGCCAGATTGGATGGTTTCAGTTGATTGTCACGGCTTCCTCTTATCCACTGCCAAACTCCCCTCAATACCATGAATTTATAATGGTTGTTTGCACAAATAAGCCTCCTCACCCAACCTCCATGTAATGTCTTTGTCCAGCTATTAAGAAGGCAAGAGATTTTCTTTTCTTTTTTTGCTTTCTTTACCACTTTAATTAAAGATAAAATGAAAGCATAGAAGCAGTTTTAAATCAAACAATCCCCAAAATGCACTGAGTAAACATTTCATTGTTCAGGATTCTATTTAGGCCATGAATTAATTTCAGAGGTTGCTTCAGAGTTTCAGCTAAACTTGTAAGAAGAGGATACTGTTCTATTAACTGTGGCAAATAATGAAGGCTGTGCAGAAGCCAAAAGGAAAGTCAATAAATCCTGCTGCGAAAGACCCCTAATAATGTCACTTCTTCACTCTTCTCTTCATGAAGTCAAAATAGCCGAGTTAACAAAGGAGGTTTGTGCATCCAGCTCTGTCGTTAACAAAGCCTCAAAGTGAGGTCTGCCACCCAGCACTATGCAGAGCAGCAGGAATCTGGTGTAAAGCTTTAGGGGCTGTCAGCCAGAAACATCACTTCTACAAATGAGTTCTTTGAAAAGGAATAAGGCAATTGAAAGAAACATGACTAATGTCACAGTAAAACAATGCTCAATAATTCTCTTTTATGCTTGGAACAATTTAAAATGCATCCAACACTTCAGTGTTCAACTTAAAAAAAAAAAAAAAAAAAAAAAAAAAAAAAACCAAAGACTCTAGATGAACTCTCTCTTCTTGGACAGTTGTGTAGGTTTTTACCAGAATTACTGAAAAGGAATAATGTTCCCTTTGTACAAGTAGTGAAATCTCACAACATTATGAGCCATATTGGGAATCTTAAACATGCATGAACTCTTTGCAAATCCCTGTATGCTGTGACAATGGCCGCCTTTCTGGGAATTCAGATAATCATGACTTTGAACGTTGATGCCGTGGGTTACACATATTTGTGGTGAAGAGGAAGATGGGACACTGTTACATGTTTTATTGTTCCACTGGCAAACCCGTGAGCAATTTGCAAGTTATGCACACTTAAAAGAATCTGTGACAATTGTGTATAGAACACAATAGGCTTTATTTAGTAACAAAACATTACTGCGTATCATTCCACAGCAGCCCACCGAATACTACGTTAGTGTAGACAGACCAATAATATGTTATGAAATTCTGAATATTTGCATGCATGTTTTCCTTAAACACATTTTCTTAATTGTTCCAGAATATGTAGTTTGCAATATTGATAGCATTTTTATTAGCTGGTCTTGAATGGCCATGTGACGTTTGTACTTTTGTCCACTACTCTAAATGACAAAAAAAATTTGCATGGAACACTAACTTCAGATATTGAGAGTTTAGTTGGTAACTAATGAATGGTTGCATGAAAGAGGTGAGTACTCGTAGGCTGGCCAAGAAATAGTATTGGGACTCCATGCAGAGCAAAGCAACATATTTACTTTAATGCTGGCTCCTGTAGCAGCTTATACTCATGTTTGGTAAATGGTACATCTGGGTATAGGGGAAGACGCCACCATGCGCGAGGTTGCGCGAGTGACCAATCACCAGAGGTGGGAACTGGGGGGGTGGTTCAGCCCTCCACCTTGCGCAAGCTCTGGCTGAAAATGTTTGCAACTTATACAAGGCTTATCTAGTACTGATTTCAACCCCAAACACAGAGGCAGGGGAGCAAAGAGAAGGAAAGCAGAAACATCTAGAAAATGAGCCTGTTGCTTTGCACTACACAGGTACACTTTAAAGGGCTATTCCCCATGTCTTCAACATTGGTCATCTGCCCTCTTCTGGACCTCCCTTATCTCATTTTCTCATTACTCTTGATGATGATTAAATCTACTACCTACCTGCAACAAGAAGAGTATAGAGCTTCCCAGTCTATACAGGTATGGGAAGCTTTACCGAACATTGCTCATTAACACTTATTATAGTGGAAGTAAACTCCCACTGGACACTTGTACCTCCAGGTAAGCTTATAATAAAGCTTACCTGTAGGCACAAGGAATATCTCCTAAACATGGACCATTTAGGAGATATTCAGTGTCCCTGCAGCCGATGACATCACCGGCATGCTCTTTGAACCGCATACCCTCTAGCAGAGTTAACGTTTGTTCCTTCAGAACTCTGAACGGCCGAGACTCCCGAGCGCATGCGCGGGAGTGACGTCATCGCAGCTTGGCCACTCAAATGACCAGAACCCGCAAACTTGGAAGGAAGGAAGACTTGGTGAAGATGGAAGCCTTGTCAGCGGTGACAGCGCTCTGCTGGAGGGCTTTGTTCTAAGGTAAGTCTTTCATAAGCACTTGAAGACCCCAATACGCATATAAACATTGCGCTTTTTAAGTGGTTTACTGGGGTTATGGCTGAAAAATTGTTTTCAGTGGATGGCTGGCTTTCACATGAAACCAGTCTTAGCGGCTCTTGAGCCTCTGGATTGCTTTCCGTAGCAGTGGGGGCGTTCCCCCTTCCACCGTTTGCTGGTGTTTCTCAGGCTTACCGTTAACCACGGCTGGCCTGAGAAATGATCCAATGGTGCAGTCTCCTCAAGATGGCGGGGATGAAAGAGTCTCTGGTCTTTGATCGCCTCTATCATGATGGCGGACTCGAACATCATTTTTTTTTTTTTTTTTTTTTTTTTAAAGTGAAAATTCCGCAATTTTTTTTTTGCTTTTAAAAAAGGTAAAGAAGAGGTTTGGGGTCTTTTTGACACCAGATCTCTTCTTAAAGGGGACCTGTCATGCATATTCCTATCACAAGGGATGTTTACATTCCTTTTAATAGGAATAAAGGTAAAGAAACAAAAAAAATTAATTTAAAGGCACAGTGTAAAAAAAATAAAATAAAACACTAAAATTTAAGGTGCCCCCATCCCATCATGCTTGTGCGCAGAAGAGAAAGGCATGCGTAAATCGCACACATAAATAAATGCTGTTCGCAGCACACATGTGAGGTAGCGCCACGATTGTTCGAGCGAGAGCAATAATTCTAGTGCTAGACCTCTGTAACTCTATACAGGTAACATGTAAAACATTTTAAAAATTTTAAGTACCATAGTTTGTCGCTATTCCACAAGTGTGCACAATTTTAAAGCATGACATGTTAGGTATCTATTTTTTCACTGTAACATCCTGTTTCGTATTTTACAAAAAAATGGGGTAGTGTGTTTTGTATTTTTTTAATTCACTAAAGTGTATTTTTTCCAAAAAATTGCTTTTGGAAAAAAGGCTGCACAAATACCATATGACACAAAAAATTGCAACAATCTCCATTTCGTTCTCTAGAGTCTTTGCTAAAAAAAAAACAAAAAACTATATAATGTTTGGGGGTTATAAGTAATTTTCTAGTAAAAAATACAGATTTAAACTTGTAAACAAAATGTCATAGAATATGTTTGGTCTTCAAGTGCACAATGTGCTAGTATGTGATACATACTAGCACATTATGACATTTTTCAGGGGAATTTTTTCTTTCTTGGCGGTTTACTACCGCTTTAAATAATCAGTATGTTATGTAAGAAAAAAATGTGCAGAGATCAGTGATGTACAGAAAACCAGTCTGAATTCCTTCTGTAGTATATATGAAATGAACAAATGCCTTGGCTTGTGACCAGCAGCCATGGTAGGCCGCAGTTTCTGCAGTAAAAGGTATTTCATGGCTTTTGTGACCTTTGTGACCTTTTATAACAAAGTCAGTAGAGTTTGTATTTGACAATATCGCCACTTTAAAGAGTTTAAAATAGAAGTTGCTCTAGTCCAGATTCTACAGACCCAAAATGTTTTCACCAGTAACAAAAACGCCAACAACTGTATTTTCTATGCTTTCCATTACAACAAAACACATTTCACATGATTATTGCCATTTCTCAGACAGTAAAATTAAAAACATGGCAAATTAAGTAAACTTTTTTTAACTTCATACCGTAGAAGTAAGCAACACAGTTTAAAGCCTATTAGATTCTGACCAATAGGTAGTTCCTACCCTCTCTCCTGGTGTATAATGTGTCATAACTACCATTTACTTACCAGCTGAATCCGTGTTTATTTGAAGGGGTGTACTTCTCCAGGAGGGCAGTTAACTTCAAAAGTGAGAACTTCTGCAGCAAATTGATTTGAGTCACTGACTGGCAGTTTATTTGCAGTGATGCAGACCTCAAGCTGGGGCGGTGTGAACTTTGGAAGCTATGCCATCTGAATCTATGCCTGTAGCGTATAAAGACATAAGGATGTGAGTGAAGCTTACTGTTCTCAGGATATTTGCCATGATTAGGTTAACAAGCCTCAGCATACATTTATGAATCACTCTTATGACTGATCACTATGGAATTTCCAGAACATCCTTCCCAACACAGTCTGGATTTCAGTTAATAGTAAAGTTAACCAGAATGCAAGCTAGGGCACAGATGTTTATAAAGGCTGGCTGGACATGTCCCAACACTCACTAGTGGTGTGACCAATCTGGGCATCATTGGTGATATTGGCAATGTGTGGGTAAACTCCTGAGTGACAATAAGCAATCCTAGGCACCAGAACAGCTAGTTACTGTTCATAAAAAAAAAAAGGAGCTAACAATCTTTCAATGGCATATGTGCCACACATTGGCTTAGACAAAGAAAATGGCTCACATCCCAGTGGTGTGTGGTTTCAGAGATGCCCAACAAGATTCTCACCAGCTGTCACTGTAGGCTCTGGTTCACATAGGCTTCAGCTTGGAAACATTCATCAGAAGAGCAATGTGCACAGCTAACACTTAATAGGATTTCAGCAAGCACTGAGCAGCTTTCTTGAATCCCTTCAAGCACTCTTCAGCACCAGTTTGGGAGTAGTTACCATAACAGGACTGTTGGCTGTCACTTTAAACAAGCTGTTAGTAGACATAACCGCAATGCTTGAAGCTTGTGGGAGACTTGCAGCTTATTTAAAACAGCTAGTGCTCCCACAGCATTCTGTGTTCCAGGTTTCAGTTGAAGCATGTTTGAAGGGAAATGGTCATGACAGATTATAGAGACTAAAATGGCTAAATATCTCTTTCAGTTGGCTACCTGGATATCTTGCTGATGTATTAGGCCAGGGGTCTCCAAACTTTCCAAGTCAAGGGCCAGTTTACTGTCCTTCAGGCTTTAGAGGGCCAAACTTTGGCCAGTGCAAGTAGAAAATGTCCCGGCATCAGTGTTCAATTGCTGGTTTTAATGGGAGGAATAGTGCTTCATTGTTGATAATTAAATGAATCGTACCCCATTGATGGCATCAGAAGGAGAAATGGTGCCCCATCATTGGTGTAAAAGTTCCCAAAGGCCAGAAAAGAGCAAGCAAAGGGCCACATTTGCACCCCCCCAGGCATCAGTTTGGAGACCACTGTTTTCAGGTCTATGCTATCTGAGCCACTGACTTGAAACAGGTATACAAACAAAGAATTCTAATTCACAGCATGCTTTATCCTTGTCTGTTACTCATAGGCACGGAAAGGAAAGTATCATTTTCAAAAAGGTGGCCAATAATGGTGGCCTCCCATACTCTCATGGCAGATTCATTTCAAAGACTTCAAGAAAGCTGCTTATAGTTTGCTCATAGATTTATAGAATGCCTTGTAAATGGTTGGTGTTTACACTGCTTAATAAACTAGCTTGACTCAGCGCCACTTTGGTCTCAAAAACAAAGGCCCATTTCCACTAGTGCATTGCAGTAAGGGCTGAGCTGTCACAGCACCATAAGGCAGAACACAGTTTCCTGCACTCCAGTTATGTGCATTCAACTGCAAGTTATTACAAAACCTTGGTGAAATTGGGCTGCCTGAACGTAGGCAGCATGTACAACACCAACAACTGATGGTGAATTAGGTGAAAGAGATATACCTAAAAAAATTTAAAGTATAGTGGCAAACCAATTCAAATTACTAAATTCCAAATTCCTAAACTCTTGCATCCCTCGCTCTTTAGAGGTTGGTGGTTTCACAATCATGGCATTTGTTGCTGACAATTTCTTGGTGACAAAATTCAGGAGTGCAGGACCATCAACAATCATTGGCAGACACCCAGTTAACCCCCCACAGACCAGCATCAGAGATGCTCTGCCATACTCTCTCTCTCTCCTGCTCTATAGGCACACGTACTGGGAATCTGAATGTACACGTTTATGTTAACATTGGTCTAAAAATACAAACAAGCAAAAAAACAACGCTTCTATTAAATGATCATGCATACACATTCCATCTCTCTATTTTTTTTTTTTTTTTTTTTTTTTTTTTTAGGGACAGCTAAAGATATACTTGGAAAAGCAATTTGTTCATCGTCAAGGAGGTCCCACTTTGTTCTTCCTAGCGGTACACTATCAATTCCTGCTCTGCAAACAGGAAGTCAAGTGAGCAAGGTCATGATGCTTTCCTGACAGATAACCCTGGTTTCACATATTTCACATGAGAATTATAAACATTTCCACTTTTAACAACATATGTATGCGTGTTACAATTAGCCCTATAGGAAACAGCTGCTTTTAGTCTGGTTAGCCTTCATTCAAGGCTAATGTTACCCATGTGTAGGTAACTTTCTTCTTGGGAGAATGGCTGATTATATTTGTTACAGTGTGAAAGGATTACCAAGCACCAAGTAAAGCAAGTATACCTTCCAAACCATGCAAGTTTTCTCTTTATGAGCAATTAAACAGAATAATTTTCAGATCTACTTTTTACAGTCAAACGTTTGCACAGTGAAAGGCTCATCACACCGGACCACTGTTTGTATGAACAATTTTGGTAGTTTGTTGCTGTTCAGCAATTCTAATGATGTCATAGAAAAGGACAGCCTTTTGTGATTGTTACCCAAATATGTACACATTAACTCAAAGTCATTTTGCTTTGAGAGAGTCCTTGAGCTGGAAAGCTATGAGCACAAAGCTGGTTCTACAGCAATGCTTTATTTACTATCGTTGTTTCTACTTTTTCCTACCAGTGTGACTGATCTGAGCATTAGTATCTAAAGGCATGTTGTGGGTGGCAGGGAGTGCTCACATCCAAAATTCCACATTTCCATGACTGTTTATTTTAATGTGAAACAGATACTACACTTTCTCTGTGTGAACTTTGTTTCAATTGGAACGAAAGTCTGGAGAACAAGTTGCAAAGGTATGTTGGCTCTTGGCTATCTTTGCAAAAATGGCAGAGAATTTAGCCATCAAACTGGTCTGCTTTCCTGTACCAGGGTTAAGGTAAGTTGTAAGAAGGAAAATAAAACACAGCAGCAAACTATTCCAAACCTCAAATTCATGTGTTGAGACCAGAAGTGACACCGCACTTGGGATTCCTAACTTGTGCTTGTTTATGTTTTACTCCACCTACACAGCTAAATCAAAGTGTCCACATACAGCAGAAGAATAGATGGTTAGAAATACCAGGAGGAGGAGACACTCGGCAAATGCAATGCAATCTCCTGTCATAACACTTCTGGCTGGTCAAAAGCATGCAGTATTTAAATAGAATCAGCTGCCCCCAAATACCTAAAGCTGATTGTCAGGCAGGAATAAAAAATACAAATTGATGCCGTTCTGTATTCACTAAAACATTATTAACCACCTTCCGCCTGCCATATAGTACAATGACGGGCGCAAGGTGGTTCTCTCGTTCTGATAGGATGTCATATGACGTCCTTCCATTCTCACCGCGCATGCGCGGCTCAGGGAGCGCGCAGCGCGGCGATCGTCAGTGCGCTGTGTCCCTCGGACACAACGAATCACGGAAAGAGCCGAAGATGTCGGCTCGGTCATGTGATCAGCTGTGTCCAATCACAGCTGATCACATGTAAACACGGAAATGTTGGTTATCGGCATTTCTCTCCTCTTGAGCTGTCACGCTGACAGCTCGAGAGGAGAGGAGAGGAGAGCCGGTAAATGGCTTTCCGCGGAGGGGACATGTACACTGATCATCAGGGCACTGAAAATCAGTGTGCCCTGATGATCAGTGTGGCCCCAGAAGTGCCACCTGTTAATGTCCATCAGTGCCAGCAGTCAGTGCTCATCAGTGCCACGTGCCAGTGCCCATCAGTGCCACATCAATGCCACATATCAAGTGCACATCAATGCCACATATCAGTGCCCATCTGAGCTGCCTTTCAATGTCACCCATCAGTGCCAGTCAATGCCACCTATCAATGCCAATCAGTGCCACCTATCAGTGCCAGTCAGTGTTGCCTATCAGTGCGCATCAGTGCCACCTAACAGTGCCACCTAACAGTGCCATTCAGTGCCGCCTATCAGTGCCATATATCAGTGTCATGTATCAGTGCTGCCTTTCAGTGCCCATCAGTGATGCCTGTCAATGCCCATCAGTGCAACCTACCAGTGCCTCCTCATCAGTGCCCATCAGTGCAGCCTATTAGTGCCCATCACTGCAGCCTCTTTAGCGCACATCAGTGAAGGAGAAAAATCAATTATTTACAAAACTGTATAACAAAACTAAGAAAAAACGTTTTTTTTTTCAAAATTTTCAGTGGTTTTTGGTTTAAGAAAAAATAAAAATCCCAGAGGTCATTAAATACCACCAAAAGAAAGCTCTGTCTAAAAAAAAAAAAGATAAAAATTTCATACAGTGTTGCATGACCGCGCACTTGTCCTTCAAAGTTGACAGCGCTGAAAGCTGGAAATTGGCCTGGGCAGGAAGGGGGTATAAGTGCCCTGTAGGCAAGTGGTTAAAGGCATTTTTAAATGCAAGTAGTGCAAGTACTGGAATATGACTTGGTTATCAGACTCTTGCAGCCCAGGTACACCTTGTGAATCAGATGTACAGTATCAGAAGCATGCTGATAACAGCAAAGAGCAAAATGACAAACATCCATCTGCTGCTTCTCCTTTCTTTGTCCAGTCACAGGCAAGGAATGGGAGAGAGCTCTGTAATTGTTACTTAACTGCAGCAGAGATATTTCAGGTTTCCTCCCTACCAGAGCCATATAAACTTCTGAACCAATTGGACAGAAATTTAAAGGTTTGGCAGATAAAACAGCCTGTATGTATTCAATGTGTGTATCTAGCTGTCTACCTGGACATCAGCTTTAAAGTAGCTTAATACAACACATAGAATGATTTAGACTATTAGCAGGCAACTGCTAATAGATATGAAAATGAAAACATCACCCACCTGTTGGATCGGGTCAAGGATGCCACTCCAGAATCTCTCCTTCCTTGGATTACTGTTGTCTCATCACACTCATTCAGTGAGTTCCCAGTGCTGTCCAGATCACTAAGCACAGTGCAGTCATTATCAATTTCTAAATGTATCTGCTTTGGAGAAGAAGGGCAAGGTGACACAGAGTCTAGAGCAGAATCTGAATCCCCCTCATCATAAAATTTCTCTGTCCACTGATTGACTATCCTCTGCATTCCTTTCACATGATATAAAATGTCATCCAGTTCTGGGAAAATATCCTCAGTTTCCAGATCAGCCATGTCACCATTACTGGAGTACAGAAAAGTGCCTGGGACATTGTCATAGATACTCAATCGGTTACCTTCAGAACAACAAGAATTGCGCCTCCTGCTGCTAAAAGAACTTTTGCAACTGTTTACACTGGTGACGCTGTTTTCCCTTGTGAAGTCATGTCCATGAAAACTGCAATTTCTCCAGCTCACAGAAGAACTGCTGTCCGTAGGAGACAAGTTTCCATTAGAAAGTGCTTTGGGAAAGGTTCCAGGCTTGTGGTCATCAGGGATAAAAAAACACATCCTCACCAAAACTTTGGTTCTTATAGTTTTGCTCCAGAACATCACTGAAAGTTGATTGATTGAATGGATCAAAGCCTTCTAAGTACATTCCAACTCTCTTATGGCATGCGCTTAAGCTTCGTGTTCTTGTAACTGGACTAGGGGTGCTGACTGCACTGCTAGTCTCAGACTGACTACTACTACTGCTCGTCTGTGTGGAGTTTGATATACTCCTCTTACGGACTTTTGGGGCATTTATATGGTTCCCATTCAGAGAAGAAATTTCAACACAGTTGAGTTGTTTTAGCTTATCGTCATCAACGCCTTCTTGTAAGATAGGTTCGCTTATTGTTATACCAGTTTTAGCCTGAGATTTCTTTTTGCTGTGAGATGTTTTGATTTTAAGACTTTCCATCCTCTTTAGAAGGCTCTTTGTTCTAGACCTTGAGTTCTTTTCATTTGCTTTGATGTTGAAATTAAAACTGGAAAGTTCTTTCGGTGATGGAAGGCTACCAAATGAGTCATCATTGGCAAAAAGGTTTCCAGATGAACATATGCTGACAACGGAGTTTGTTCTTGTGTTGCCTGCTTCACTGGGAACATGTGCTCTTTGGCTGTCACTGCTGGTACTGTGAATGGAAGAAACTTCTTGGTGTTCACTTAGGTCTGTTAGAATGCTGTCTTGGCTTGCTGCATTTGCCATCTGGTGTGATTCTCCAAGTAATGCTTTATGTCCCTGAAACACATCAAGTTCTTCCAATCTCGACCACCTCTTGCTATCCCTCTGGAATGTCCATTTACCACTGATTGCACAAGGCTCATCTTCATCTGAATCTTCACTCTGTGTAGTAAGCAGGAATGAAAAGAAAAATGAAAACTGGGGAAAAAGAAAAAAAAAAAGCGTGATGTTCATAGTAAACATATGTTCTATAGCATGTTCTATAACCTTTCCTGTGATGTGAGTGACTGACATTTGTTTGTTCTGTTGGGCAATTTTGGTGCTGTTTTTAACCTAAAAAATGAAACCTGTTTAATTAGGTATATTTTTGCCGACTAGATAGACAGAGGGAAACTTGTTTTTCCAGAATTTGGCCCTGAAGATTTTTCTAGTTTTATAAAATATCAACTCTACTATATAATCTCTTTTTTCTGCATAGATATATTCTTGTAATCTGTTAAAGGATAAGTTCACCTTTGGAAACATGTTACATGTTCAACCCGGTTTTAGGGTGGAATATATAACATGTTCCCATAGCCGTCGCCCCCCCCCCCCCCCCCCCCGACAGATAGTATGGGGAAACTTCTCCCCGTACTATCAAATTTGAAAACAATGCACCGTGCAGGGCTCCCCCTACATGGCCGCATCATTCATTCACAGATGTCCGTGAGTGAAGGAACTGCAAGTCCCAACAGCCTTAGCAGCTGTGCGTTTGTAGTTTTCAATGAACTACAACGGTGCTGTGGAGCGCCATGGTAGTTCATTGAAGCTGCCTGTCAGTATATCTGCTTGCTTGTACATCCCGTACGGCAAGCAGATTTTCGGACAGGTCTGCAGAATACCTGCATGGCATCAGTGATCTATTGATCACTGGTGCAATGCTTTACATGTTCCTTTGGCCAAAAATAATAAATGCACATTTTTTTACCTGCAAAAAAATGTGCATTTATTATTTTTTTCCAACAGGTGAATTTATCCTTTAACAACCTCTAGTTTTCTTCAATGCAATGCTATTCAAACAGAAGGACTGAAAATGCAAAGAAGGAAAAAAAAACACCCACAAACTGACTATATACATTTGTCCATGAAAATTAACTAACTACACACAGACAGTTAGGACCTTAGTCTTAATTAGAAGCCAGAGGAAGAGCCAGGCAAGGTATGACCTAATCATTTAAAAAAATATCGAAAGCCCAAACTACTCCCATTAGGGGAATTTACTGTATTTGTCCTTGTGACTCTTTATACCAGGACAGGAAGAGAGGGAAAATCCTAAATTCTAAGTTGTTACCAGAACTGGAATGGAACTCTTCCAACAGTAACACTAGCTCCTGTGACAACCATCTAAGAGGGGATTTTGTACTAAATCTGAAGTACTAAAAGTGAAGGAAAACCACCCTAATGGAACACAGATGACAAAACGTACAAGGTTTTTAACGTTTCCCAACTCAAAGCAAAGTTAAAAGAAAAATGTGTTGGCTCTAGATATATGTAAATGTTAATTGCCAAGATCACACACTTTATGAACGTTAGACAGGCCTCAATAATTGTTGGGGTAGGAGATTATGTTCTTTATACAATCTATATACAATTCACCTCACCAGAAAAAAATGGTCAATGGAAATAACCAAGACATACATTTTCATACATATTTAATTTTGCCTATCTTTTACACCTAACTGGCAGCGGTTCATAGTCTATATGTCAATTGAATTGAAGTTTTCATCATCCTGCTGTGCTTTCCCTGGTGTATTTCCCTCACACCCCTCCTCCCAACCTGCATTAAAACATCCCCTTATCTACAGAGGGTTCATTAAGATTCTTGTAAAATTAGAAGGTGATTTCAAACATGGCAAGTCATTTAATTTGCATTTCAATCTAAAATGGATTATCACTTGTAAAGGGAACCACCAATTAACTAGCTGACCGTAATATGGAGAGGTTACATTCTTCATTAAAATGGCTATCAAAGGTTTAAGCCTTCTTGTAAAACTTACCCTTTTTCTATTCGGACTGATTTCAAGTTTCATCACCGCACACTTATTAAGAGTGTTTAGCCGCCTGCAAAATAATTAAAGATATAAATTTAAAATAATTGTCCAACTAACAAAATAAAAAGTAATGAGACTTGATGACTGAAGGGCTTTTTTATTAGAATAAAGAAAATTATTCTTTTGTTAAACAAAATATTTACATCATCCATCAGAGGACAGCTAAAAAAACCCCCAACAAAGCGGAAATATCTGGGAATACCAAACACTTATTTTATTTGTTTTTCTTCTGAATATAAAATGTAACATCTGTACACCCAAAATGCCTGCTTCTAAATGCACACTCATACATGTACCTATACCAGGGGCGGACTGACCATTTGGAAACTTGGGCCCGTCAATAGGGGGCCCCATGAGATGCCCCTGGTACCTTTTTCATAGGCTTTTTTGAGTTTGGGCAAGGACACAGGGGCCCCATGATCCCCTATTGCCCAGGGGCCCCAAGATCCCCTATTGCCCGGGGGCCCCATGAGTTGCCAGTCCACTCCTGACCTATACAAATTACTTCAAATAACCTCCTTATTTCTTATTAGCTAGAAGGCAACTGGCAATGCAAATCTCCTTTAAGGATATTCTTAAAAAAAAAAAAACCTGAGCAATTGCCAAAATAAGCAGCTCTATGTTTAAGGAAATATCTCTCTATTTACAGATAAAATATGCTGGACTAGCAAAAATCTTAATATCATCTTTGTACGAGAAAGCAAACAGGCATTGGTTTAAATTCTTTACATTTACACACTACACAGCCTCAGTGTACAGTGCTCTTTATACTCATTAACTTCTCATATTTTGCCATCAAGTTCAGAGCTATGCTCTTACAGGATATGTATATCTAACTGGCCAAGTAACTCCCAGTTCTATTCAACAGGGGATTAAATTGCAAAATTCACAAGCTTGTTTTGTGCTAAAAATTCTAGTTATTTTTTACTTCCAAGAAATCATCCATGACTTTTCTCCCTACTGAACCCCAGGAGAATACTAGTGGTCAGTAAGTGAGTAGGACTGTGTTGCTTTTATACTAGTCACAAATACAAAGGTCTTTGCAGTACAAAGGTTTATACTTTTATGGTTTTTGGTAGGTGAAATGTTATGAGGGTATCCAAAGCAAAGTTGGACAAATCCATCAAGACCGGTTTCCAACTTGGCTAATGGTATTCTGATTACTAATCCCTTGTCCAATATGTTTCTCTGATGTTATTTCCTACTGGTAGCAAGAAGATGGCTCCACAATTCACAGTCCTTGCTTGCATCTACTCGCAAGCATAAATGGCCACACGAGTGTGATGGAATTTTTTATAAGTTTAGGAAAAACTGTGCATAGGCCAGCCTTTCTCAACCAGCCTTTCCGGGTTCTTTAGGGGTGCCTTGGTAAAATGCCTAAAACTGGCTCAAAAGTTAACAGGCCAGCAGGTGGATCAAGCCTGCCTTTCTTTTGTTAAAGCCACAGGGTTTTATTGTGCAGCATTACAAGCTTGGGCATCATACAGGTCAGCTGCTGGTGCCCTAAAAGCAGATGATGTCATAAGTTGAAAGGAGGACATGTGGGGGGTCTTTGTTTGCCCCTCACCTGCCCCGTCAGCACTGAGGTCACGTTAGCTGAATAAAGTAGAGAGACTGAAGGAGAAGAGAAAAGTTGGTATACTAGTCAGTACCAGTGTGCAAAGGTACATTAATCTTAAAGAGTAAACTACCTCTAATGTTGGGTATCCTGCTTATGTAGATGCAGCTGCACACAACTTATTTAAAACTATTCTAGTTTTTCTACATTTTAGAATGGGTTGCCTTGAGATTGTGCAGAATTTCAAAGGATGCCTTGACTGAAAAAGGGCTGAGAAACACTCTACAAGGTTATTGATTTTGGGTGAACATGTTTAATTTTTAACTATATAAATTCACTGGAGGAATTTATCCAGTGTTACTGTATCATATTAGAGCTGAACTCCAGGCAAATAGCTGAATACACAGATGACATATACAAGAGTGGTTTTCCCTCCTAAAGGATTTGTATTTGTGTATATCCAGTCCTGAGACTTACACAGCCTAATCAAGTGGATAACACTACTTTGGTAATGTTATAGAAGTAACTGTAGATCGAATACAGTGGCGTCCCTTCTCCAGCTCCACAACTTACTAACTGGACAGTAAAAAAACAGAAAGCAGACTGTCAAGGTCTTCCCTCTGCTCTCACCTCTTTATAGAGTGTTCAAGTCATCACATTTGAATGCAACACCCCTTATTGGCTCCCAGTCACCCAAGGGAGGGTGACATATAAGGGATTAGGAAGATACCTGGAATATGGTAATGTGGAGATCAGAGCTGGGGGGTGGATGGTTTTAATATGCGACAAGGGGCCAGATAAGATTGGACTCTTAACACAAGTATTTTTAATTAACTCTGTATAAATAAAACAAATATAATTTTTAATTCAATGTGTTGTACATGATTTCTTTAGATATGGTTTAAATGACACACTTTAACATCTACAAACATGTTCGTTTATCACAGGGAAACATTCTTTCATTTTGCATAGAGCAAATGTTGGTCCCAAGACTTCAGTCTCTAGGATACATAGGGTACTCAGAAAAAGCACAGACTGCCCTTTCTTCCACATTTAAACATCCAAATGCTAAATCCTAAGCAAACAAGTTGTGTGGTTGATTCATGTTTTTTCCCCTGCCAAATATATACAAACTATTTCAAAAATGTATTTGGTATGCACAGCAGAAAAAAGGCCCTTTAATACTTTTTAAAAGTCTTTAAGCGCTGAAACAGAACATGGATGATTTGCCTGGCACTACACTGAAGTTAGCCTTATTTCCTTAATCATACTCAATGTCTCGTGTTCAACGAGTGGAAGATGGGATGACCAGCTAGTGCTGACCTATAACCATCTGATAACCTGGTCAGTGTTGTAAACGTTAATGAGTTCTTACAATAAGCTTTCTTTTGCTTTAGGGCAGAGATGCACATGACATACTTGTTAAGACTGCTTTTATTCTCTAATTGAAATGTTATAATTAGATAAGCTGATTTTCTTCCAACTTGAGCTGGTCAAACACTACGCAACCTTTCTCATCTGAAGATCTGGCATTTATGGCACCCCATATTCACAGCTTTGCAAAATTATAGAACTTTTTTTTTTTCAAAGCATATCTCCCTAAATTTTGTCTATAACAAATGATTAGAACATTTTTTCCCTTACTGTTAAGACTAGACCTAGAGTAGTGACACTAAGATTTGTTGGTCCTAACTTAAAATTAACCCATAAAAATGATTTGCCATAATGTGATGCCAATGACAAATTGTTTTAAAGGTGCTCCTACACTGCCATCTCAATCCTGACCAGCTCCTGGTAATTAAAACAAGCATGGAGCCACTGAAGTATAAAAAGTCTAGACTCTAACCCTATATACTTCATTTAGAGGTCAATGGTTCTCTAGGTAGTAAAACCATTATTAAAGTGGAACTTTAGTCAGACAATTAAGTCTTTCTAGATCATTTAAGGCTTGCCCCTTCTGCAAGTATAGCTATGTTAAACATTAAAAATAATGTTTACATCTAGTAATACATGGTCTCACCCTGCTCTGCACATGCTCAGACTTTTTTTTGGCACTATGCCAAAAATGTAGAGGCCAATCTGCTGAAAGCCTAAAGATTTATTGCTGGGATTCAGCAAAATGGCAGAATTGCCTCCAGCAAGAATAAACAGGGACAATGCTCAAGGCAATTTACAGCACACATTAATTTTGGTAGCATAATTATTAATGTATATTTGTTGCTAAAGAACATAATTTATTTTATCAAGTTGTTATGGGTAAAGTTCCACTTTAAAAGAACAGCCCCAGAACCTGGACTTTAGCAATGTCCATGTCCACATTTCCATTTTCAAAGGCCTACTTAAAATGGTTTCCAGGAATTCTATCCTTTTCAGAGGCTTGGCTGACAAATGGATGCACAGCAGCTTCTGCATGCAAGCTCTTATAATTTGAACCTGACACAAGCATGTGCTGCCTAGCAGCTCCTTCTACTTGAGGAGCCTTTACCAGCTAAACATAAAAAGTGGATGCAACATCAGGAGGTTGTGGTGAGTATAGTTCCAGTGAGAGCACAGAAAGTGCTGTAACCCATAACAACCTACCATTCACAATTCATTGTTCTGATTACAACTGTGGACATCTAATTTGCTGCTTTAGGGTATTGCACTTTGTGCGTCACTGTTCATTTGACTACTTTAAGAAAAATAAGCACTCATATTTTGACACTACTTGCCAAAATTTTGAAGTCTGGCTCATCATGGTGAGGTAGTTCTTACCACAAGAATTAAAAAAAATTTCACCCTAATTCATTATTATTCTTAAAAAGAGGCATAGCTATGCAATCTGTAAAAAAGCACAAAAAAAAAAGAAAAATCCTAAACCACGTCTGTTATTTAACCATCCCACAACTGTACAAGGTAACAGGAATTGTAACAATGTATGATGTTGGAGGAACTGGAATTATCTAGTCCCATCCAGCTGCACACAATTCCCTTCTACAACCTGCACGATAACTTTGATCTGCAGTAGAGAATCTTCAGTCTTGCTGATAAGGCCATCTAATCTCTGCAAGACTTTTATATTAATGTGTCTACACAACGAATGAAACTGCACAGTCGGCTGAAAAAGATACAGCCCAGTCTGTTTCCAGGAAGATAAACTTTTACTGTTGTAAGTGTAACTGAATAGTTCTGGAAATCCAAGTTAAAATCTGTCTGATACGCCTGGTGTCAGTTACAAGAAAAACCATGTCTGCCCAGATTACATTTCTGGTGTGTCACATTTTTGGGTACCAAAGAACAAAACAAGGGAAGCATGTTGTCTTTTTGTGACCTTAAGCATTGTCTGGGCAGCTCTGAAGAAATTTGAGTCTCTCCTAAATATCAGTTCATAACTTTGTTTTAAAACAAAAAGAAGAAAAAGATGAATTAGAACTCCCAATCCTTTGAAAATATGCAGAGATCTCAAGAAGATAGGGGAGATTTATACCAATAAAAATTGAGAAATTAACTCCAGTCTCCAACTATGAATCTAGCTCAGCATGATCATAAAAAGATAGACCTACTTTTTCTGGGGTTCCCTAAAGCTCTGCTACCAGTGCCATACTAGTGAGTGATGGACATAGCAAGCACATGTGCACAAGCGTCTTAAAAAAAAAAAAAAAATCCCTTTAATCAACTGTAATACATACAAGTTAATACACCAACTACACTTTACTAATATTAAAAGGTGTCTATGATGAATAAGGTTTATCATCATTTTGTTACAAGTTCCTATTTCCCCCTTTTCCACTTTATACCTTTCCCTTAATTAAAAAACCCCAAAAAAAACTTTGGACGCACAGAGCCCAGCTGGATCTTCCACATCTGACTTCCTCATAATCCTTTTCTTATTTATACTTCAGGTTAACTCATTTGACCTGGCCCTATCTTCGGTAGTCCCATCCAGGAGTATGGGGGAAACGCATACCATAAAGGGCCAGTCCTCGATATGTCATCCTGGAAGGCTCCTTGCTCCTAAAACTGCTCATTTTGTATTATTTTTTGATTTCTGTGTACATTTTGTTGCACCCCTCTGGATGTTTAGTGTGCATAATATATGAACACCTCTGGCATATCAGATGTGACTTACACATTTTGTAACCCGTTGCAATATATATAGGAAGTCTACGGTTTATTGTTTGTTGCACGCCTGTAAATAATTTTTTTTTTTTTTAAAAAGGTGCCCATTTTTACCTAACATGGAAGCGCACAAGGCAAAGCATGTTAGGTAAGCTCCATAGAATGTATGGTGCACACTCTATTGCTGATTCTATTCTATTAGAAAGAAAAACCCAAGAATTGCAGAAAAGTTTCCAGACCATTTATATGAGATTAGGAAGACTGCTTAATTGGTTGGAGCTGTCAAATTGCTGTGAGAGGAGTGTAGGAAGTTTTCATCTTCCAAAAACTGAATGCAGTGAAACCTGCATAAAGGGTAGATTTGCCTATGACTTAAAACAACAAATCTGAACATTTGAAAAACAATAAGAATAAATGTAAAATTAGCTTTCAGTATCTAAAATAGTTTTCTGAAACTGTGAGTAGCATTTTTAAACGTAGCTGGCAAGGGTGTGGGTAAAGCCAAAAGTACCATCACAGGCAGTACTGTATTAAAAAACAAAGTCTGTTGAAGGGTTTCGGCTAATGAACGTAATTTATGACAGAAGAACTAAAACCAAACACTAATACTTCTTTATGCCTTCGTGTGACAAGGGTCAGCGGTTTTCAATATGGGACATCTTAGGTCCTTGCTCAGGCATTCTTGGAAAGTTTGCACACAGATCATCTTAAGACACATGACTGGCTACTTCTTTATAGCCATTAGGCAATGAAACTATTCTACTCAGTAAACGTACGCCTGAAAAGCTGCTAGACTTTTAACATTCTTTCCCTGTGAGGATTGTTGGCTTTTACAAATACACATGAAATTAGCCTTTTGCTATAATGCAGACAGCATGTTAATAACATCGGTTAAGGTTAGTACAATTTAATACCTGGTCAAACAACAGCTGTAGTAATAATATGGACAAATGCCTTCCATTTCCAATAAATTCCCTGATACTACATAATGCATGGTTAACAAACGACTGACCATAAAAGGTAACAATTAAACAGATTTGACAGTGTTAAATTTTAGTTTGTTTTTGTTTGGAAAGTAATTTACAAGGTATACACAGGAGTTGAATTTAAGGTCTTTCTAAATACAGCCACCACTTTGAAATTCTGTTCTCAGCCAACATTTCAGGATTATGTTGGGACGGTTTGCTACTCTTACTTGTAAGGATTATCTGTAAATAGTGGTGGTGGTGTAATTTAGTTGTATCAGTTCTTCTACTATGGGCAATAAAGTCAATAATGGATAATAGAAATAAAGTGGAATCTTGGATTTAAAAAAATAGTTATTTTTTCCCCTCTCAGTCACTCCATTAGTACCAACCTGCATAGGGCTTCAATTGCATCTCTATCCAGGAAATCATGGTCCTTCTTCACAGCAGAGATGTCGATGGGAAACAGAAGATCTGGATGAGGGACAGATAAACCAAATATAGTATCTTAAAATATAGATCTTGTCCCTCAGATATTAAATGTAAAATAGTACTAAATATTGTAAGCCAAAAAATAAAAATAAACAAAACAAAAAATCACCTGGGTTTATGAAGATTTAATGGGGAAAACCCCACAAAAAGAGAATGGACTATCTTGGCACCCAAAGGACAACACACTCATAAAAACAATATATTTTTACTTGATCAAACATGTACATGAATCCATCCTAAAATCACATAGATTTAACAGCATGATCTCATAATTCACAAAGATCATAATGGTTACAACTCCATCCTCGATAGGGGATAATGTTGACTCCTCTACATGTTTTGTGGAATTAATCCACTTCTTCATGAGGAAAAGTCAAAGAATACTCAAATAGAATCATAACAGTCAAAATACAATATCTCATAGAATTGCATATAACACATTACACAATAATATTTCAAAACCCACCAATAAATTGTTTACCAATGTGAACTCATGCCAAATAGAAGGGGCCAGATGGGGGTACCAACATATCTCTCCCGCGGCAGACACGGGGCGCAAAATAATGAGCACAGTGACCGGTAAACCACCTGTGCAACTAAAAAAAAACCAAAAACAAAATAACCGTATTAGAAAGAAAGAGGAAAAAAAAGCCCTCAACTATATACTAACCAAACAAAGAGTTTTTTTTTTTTATTTGTGGATTTTGAGATATTATATGCAATTCTATGAGATTTTGTATTTTAACTGTTATGATTCTATTTCAGAGTATTCTTTGACTTTACCTCCTGAAGAAGCGGATTAACTTTGTGAAACATGTAGAGGAGTCAACATTATTCCCTATCGGGGGTGGAGTTGTAACAATTATGACCTTTGGGAATTCTGAGATCATGCTGTTAAATCTATGTGATTTTAGAACTGAATCATGTACATGTCTGATCAAAAATGTATTTGTGTATTAATAAATATATATTGTTTTTATGACTGTGTTGTCCTTTGGGTGCCGAGATAGTCCATTCTCTTTTTGGGGTTTTTCCCCTTTAATTTTCCATAGTCATTTGGGATGATAGCACTCCCACTTTACAATGGTGTTTAATAATATGAGGCTTGTTATATAATTGGGTGTAAAAAGTACATGAAAAAGAAAAACATTGATTTATACTTGCCTCAACCCTGTCTTCCACATTGATATCACACCCAACATTGTTCCTCCAGGAAGATTCCTGGGGAATGCAGAGCATGCAAAATCTCACACAAAGGCTCTCCAGTCAATTGATGGGGCATCATCTTCACCTAGGCATCTAGGGCAGGGGAATGGGCTGAGGCAAGTATAACCCCTTTTTTCTTCAGGTACTGTTTATACCTACTAATAGGTAATTTGCAAAAGATGAGAAGGTTCCAAAAGTGTAAAGCAGACCTTGCAGTAAAATGCAAGGTCTGCTTAAAGTAAATCTCTGCCTTCACTGGGTGATATTTAGCTTGCTTAAGCATTGTGTATCAAACAATTGCCATGTTTTTTCTTTCTTTATAAAATACAATTTTAAGCATAATTGCACTGCTCCTCTCCTCCAGCCTCTCTCAACTAGTTCCTGATGGCCATCACTCCAGACTGGATTCCTGAAAGTGACAACTGTAGACCATGCCTGTGCAATATGTCAGCACGGCCATTTGTAATGTCTACCAGGGGAGCATGTGACAGCCCAATATGTCTTTTCTTCCCCAAATTTGTAGCAATAGTCTGTGTGACAGGCCCATTCCTCCTTTCAGTGAGAAATTGAAAGGAATGTTGTAACCTCTATACTATTTGGTGAGTTCAGGTGATATAAATGACGAGAAAAGTTGCTCATCTGTTGCCCTCAGGGAGACAGCTGCCCTATCAACAATATTCAAATATTCGAGTTTCTGAAGTACATATTGTATGAGAGATTTTACATATTTGTAAAAGGTATTAGCAGCTCTATAGGAGCTTTTGGTCAAGTACGTACTCTGAAATTATTAATGTCTATGACTACAGTATATGTTGAAAAACGAATTTAAAGTGAAGGCTTGTTTCCTTAGTAATGGTAACTTTTAGCGAGGACTTTATAATGCTGTAAAGAGTTAAAGGAACCAGATGCTTCCTGGACACAACTATGAAAGAGAAAAGTAGGAAAAAACTCCAAGATAAATGATGGCTGGTGCCATCTCAAATACCACCGCTGAGGCATAACTTCACAAGGATGGCGCCTTTACATGCAGCATTGATAAAACTCACATGGGACACTGTGGAAAGGTCATGGAAGCTGGGCAAAGCAAAGATAAAAGCCAAGAGAAAGGGAACAAGCAAAGTGAATTTAAAACATCTGCAATGGATCAAAGCTTAATATGTTATATATCCCACTTGAAGATAAATATTTGCAAAACAAAACAATCAGCAATCAATTATTTATCACACAAGTGGAACTAGCTTGGAAAAAAAATCCTAGAATAGCACAACCTTTAGGGCTCTAGATGCAATTGAACAAAAACTTTTGACTATTATGTAGTGCAGACTTATGGAACATGTACATCCTCTAGGTAAGGGGTGTCAAACTGGCAGCCCTCCAGCTGTTGCAAAACTACAAGTCCCATTATGCCTCTGCCTTTGGGAGTCATGCTTGCAACTGTCAACCTTGCAATGCCTCATGGGACTTGCAGTTTGGCAACAGCTGGAGGGCCACCAGTTTGACACCCGTGCCTAGGTGAAAGGAATTGCATAGCACAAGGTGGACAGTGCTGGAGGAAATTAATAAAATGGCCAGGCTATTAAGAGGTCTGGATAATCTACTGGTCTGCCTTACTTTTCTAGTAACCAGCTGTAAAACAACCTCACATGCATGATTATAGTACATAAAGAAATGCTTTTAGCAATTACTGAACACCTCGAAGTAAGTGAACCTGCCAAGCACTATAAGATAACTATTTATTTATTTCAGGTACTTACATAGCGCCGATAATTTACGCAGCGCTTTACATACATATATTGTACATTCACATCAGTCCCTAACCCTCAATTGGAATACAATCTAAGGTCCCCAAGTCACATTAATACATACACACACATAGTAGGGACAATTTAGACAGCAGCCAATTAACCTACCAGCATGTCTTTGGAGTGTGGAAGGAAACCGGAGTACCCGGAGGAAACCCACGCAGGCACAGGGAGAACATGCAAACTCCAGGCAGGTGGTACCGTGGCTGGGATTCGAACCAATGACCCTAGTACTGCCAGGCGGAAGTGCTAACCATTTAGTCACTGTGCTATAGTTTAGTAAAATTGGTGTCATCTTCAATTAAAATAGTTCTAATCTCTCATTTTTATTATTTTCCTAGAGATTTTGGTGAGCAAACAAAAGAGCTTCTTCCTCTACGTTTTAGATATATTAAAGGTTCACTGTTTTACAATAAAATAATAAATGCACATTTTTTTTTGCAGGTAAAAAAATAGTGCATTTTTATTTCTTGTTTCTGGAGCCTCTAAAACATTGAACCAATGATTAACAGATCCCTGGTGCCATGCAGTTCTCCTGCAGACCTGTCAGTATATCTGCTTGCCCGTACAGGATGTACAGGCAATCAGATACACTGACAGGAAGAATCAATGAACTACCATGGTGCTTCACAGAGCCGTGGTAGTTCATTGAGAACTACAAGCAGACAGCTACAAAGGCTGCTGGGACTTGCAGTTCATTAATTCACAGAACCGCATGAATGAATGACGTGGCCAGGACGGCGGAGTCCCGCGCAGCTGCGATTTTTTTTTTTTAATTGTGACAGCTAGCTGGGAGGACTATGGGTGTAACATGTACCATGTTATGAAATGTGAACTTATCCTTTAAAGAAAACAAAAATCCCTTCCATAATAAAGATTATTAAGAAGTTTGGAAATCATTTATCAGTAAGTGTTTTAGTGCAGATTAAGAAATAAAATATAATAAAAATTACTCTTGGTCAATGCATGTATTTCTTTAAAAGTCATGAAAGAATTATTGAAACCAGTAACTATCTTAAAGTGGTTCTAAAGTCACAAGGTTTTTTTTTTGTTTTTCATCTCAATGCATTACCTCATAGTTGTTTGCTTCCCCACTTCCCTAAATACCCAAGTACTGTATTGATCCAGCCTTGTGACCATCTGCAGCAGCACTGGTCTCTGTTCCTGGTTTCACAGGACACCCTGATAGCAGAGGAAGCCATTGGCTTCTGCTGCTGTCAATCAAAACCAGTACGGAGGACCAGGGTTCGGGCTGAGCAACGCTATGTGTGTCTAAGAACACACACAGCCCAGATCAGGGGCGAGCCTGAACATGTGCCCCCATAGCAAAACGCTTGCTAGTGGGCACACGGAGAAGAAGAGGAGTGGACAGAGGCAGCAGTGGAGAACCCCAGAAGAGTAGGTTTGGATCAGGTAAGTATAACCTCTTTTTTATTTTAAAGGGAGCCTTTACTATCACTTAAACTTTGTATAAATACTGAGAAAAATAAATTATGAAAATTGATCTTGAGGTGGGGGCACATTCGTGCTGTAATTTGATGGGTGGGTGAGGGTTATCAACAGGTTTAAGGAAATGCAGAGCTAAGCATTGCTTTTTCTGTGGTCATGTCCCCTAGTAGTATAAAGAGCAGACAGGAACCACAGCAGTGATACTAAGTTTGTGTGCAAAAAATAAATAAAACTGATACCGCTTGAATGAGCCCCAATCTGTTATCCCAGCCAACTGGCTACAATGTTTGCAGGTGCTGGTTGGGTTGATTCATGACTTTCCAGACACATCGAGAACTACAACAAAATAGCACCCATCCACACACTGCCTCGACATATAGTGAGCTCCTTTTAGAAAAAAATGGCTTCAGCTTGGTTTCCTACCTATTGGAGAAGCCCATCTAACATAGGAACTCTAAGATTAAGCCCCTAATGGGTGAAACATGTTAGAGAGGGTTCTCTCATAGGTAGGAGACCAAACTGAAG